TGGCTGGGGGGACAGCGTGGCCCGGGCATCTGCTGGTGGCGGTGGCAGAGTCCCGGGGCGCCCCCTACGGAGCGAGGGAAGGGCAGCCCACCTCTACCCCGTCCCCAGGGGCCCGCTGCGGGTCCCCCAACCACTCCCCGTACAGAGATTCGTCAGAGCGTGGTGGGGAGGGCGGGTCCCAACGCTTCTTGGTCTGGTCACAGTGGGCAGGAGTTGGCCGCAGGGTGGGAGAGTATGTGCCCTGGCTTGGGGTGGGGGGAATGGCTATACTGTGCAGGGGCCCCTGGGGGTGCCTGTCTGGGCTTTGTGGATGGGGGTCTCCCAGAGTTTTGTCTGTGGGGGCAGGGGACAAGGGTTCAAGTTCTTGACATGTCAGCCGGTGAGTGGGGGGAAGGCCTTCCATAGAGGAGAGGGTTGGGGGCCCAGCAGTACAGCTGGGCTTCGGAGGGCTTGGGGGACCCCCCTCCTCCTTTCTCGCTCCTCCTGGCCCAGTGGAGAAGGGCTCATTCAGAGGAAGGGGGCCAGGTTTGGGAGATTCTTGGAGAACTGACTCCCTAGCCCTGTGTATTTTGGGGTCTCCGTGCCCTTGGGCTGCAGGAAGAGGGTGAAAGGGCCCAGATGGAACCCCGACACCTCCATCCTAGCCCCAGACTGACCTCTGACCTCAGCATTGGACTTGACTGCTCCCAAAGTCCCCGGTCCTACACTGAATTTCCTATGCAACCCAGCCAGATCCAGACCCAGTGGCTCCTGAATGCCTTGAAGGTGCAGTTGGTTCCCTGTCACCTGTCCCCTCTGCCCCAACCCCAACCAGCTGCCTGCTTATGATGGCTGTTGTTTGAGGGTGAGGCTGGGGTGTGTGGGACCCTTGGCATGAGGGGTATCTTCTGGTAGCCCTGCCCATGCCAGCTTGAGCTGGAGGTCAGTACCCAACAGGTGCCCGGGCGTAGAGGCGAGGTGATGTGGGACACACCCTGTCCGCTCGCCCACGCACCATGCCCAGGCCAGCCTGTGTGCATGTGTTCACACGCCACCGTCCTGGGAAGGCACGAGCCCCAGGGCCTGGTGCCAGCTCTGTCCTAGTGCCCGGGGGTATCCATTGCCCTCTGTCCTTGCAGAATGTCCTCTGGGAGCTCCCTCAAGACCCCAAAGGGCAGGCCTTGTCTGTGGGCCTGGAGGGGGCCCTAAAATAGCTGCCGGCCTGGCTCGGGGCTGGCACGCGGAGCACATGCGTGACAGGGCGTGTCCAGGGGGTTCGGGCCTGTCTGTGCTAGCCCGGCCTATGAGTCTCCACTGACCCTTGCCCACTGGAAAGAAACAGCAGAGCTGGATGCTCTAGGGGTCCTCCTGGGGACCTCCCCCCCGTACGAACTCCTGCCTGTTGCAAGTGGAGGCCAGATGTTCTGTGCAGGCCGCAGCTGTGGGACAGACCCTTGTCCCATTTGCAGCCCAGGGGTAACTGGCCCCATGGGTATAGTGGAGTGACCTGCTCTCCATGGGTCCGAGTGATGCTTTGATAGACTGTAAGGCATTTTGCAGAGTTTGCCCTTCACCTTGGGAGGGTGGGTGGGGGAGTCTGTTCCAAGTGAAGAAGGCCGCAAGAATCCCTGGGCGGTCTGAAGAAAACTCCTTCTGTCCCTTTCCCACTTCGGATGCACTTTATGCCAGAATCAGGCCTGGCTTTTCCTTATTCGACTTACCGCGTGACCTTGGGCCTGGCTCTGAATCCTCTGGTCCTCGGTTTCTCCATCTGTATATGGGGAGCATTGGGAAAGCCAGCGGAGAGACGTATGCACGTCCCCTCCCTGTCCCAGGCCCTTACCTTCAGATCCCTGTGAGGGCACCCTGGCCATCTTCCCTCCTGCCAGCGGGTGTCCTGGGTGAACACGGAGGTGTGTCAGGGAAAGGCTGGTCATTGATGAAGGACGTCCTCGGAGGCCAGTGGGTGTGGGTGTGTGAGAATCCTTGGGCAGAGAAGGATGCCGCCATGCTGGGCATGGCTGAGTCATGCTCCATCGGCGCCTTGCCCCAGGGTGCTGGAGCTGGCGCCACCCTGGGTGTGGTCACTGAGCTGTGGCCCTGGGTAGAGCAGGCCTGGGTGGTCTGGGATGGGGTCCTGGGTGGTGAGGGGCCAGAGTCCTGACTTCCGGTATGCTCGACCCCTTGGGCCTTGGTCTGGCATCACCATCAATGACTGTTGTCTTCCACACCACGAAAATGTCTTGGGGAGCCCGGGAACCCTGAGCTTTGGGCCTCGGAATTGTCGGGGTGCCGAGGGAGAAGGACAGGGCCTGGAAGCCAGTGACTGCCCTTGAGGCCAGTGGCCCCCAAAAGGCAGGTCAGGAGGGCCTGGACAAGGATCTATCTGAGGATAAGGCAGAAGTAGACATGGCGGAAGGGGGCACCCCACAGTTAAGGGCTCACAGTGGGGATGGTAGGGGTCCCCTAGGAATTCTCGGACTGGCCTGAGGGGGACTGAAGTTGAAGGCAGGGGTTGAAGCGTGGCGTTGTGTGACTGGCCACAATGGGGGCTGGGATGTGACTTGCATGGTTCCCCTATTTATAACAAGTGATTCAGTCCTCACTTACTCACCCCTTCCTGAGCCTGCCCCCCTCCCCTCTAGCCCTGGGTGGGCAGCGGGGCCCACCCACTTGCCAGTGCCCTGCCTTCTTCCACCTGGGTGCCAGCCTCTGCAGTCTGCCCATCGGGCCGGACGCTGGGACTTGGGTGAGGGGTGGGGGGCTGGTGGTCAGGCGGCACTTGGCTGGGCAGCCCAGGTTAGCGGCTGGCTTGGGGCCCGGCCAGGGAGCCTCTGCGGAGAGTCTAGGCCCATTAGGCAAAGCGTTAGTGACAGGCTGGGAGGGCGGGCAGCGGCGGCGGGCAGGGCGGGGCCTGCAGCCCTTGGTATTTTCCGATCCCAGCTGCTCTGAGAGGGTGGAAAGTATTTGGGGACCAGGCTTGGGGGCGGTGGTGGTGGCGCCCCCGGCGGAAGCTGCCCCTGATTCATTCTTGGAGCATGGGGTGTGGGGGGGTAGCATTACGGAGCCTGAGTCCGTCTCACGAGTCCACGCCCTGTCTGCAGCGCATACTCAGACATCCATCCATCCATCCATCGATGTGGCCTGGGGCCTGCCGTGCTCCCCTGGCCCAGGGGCCCGCCCTGCCCCGACCCTTTCAGCGGCCAGGACCTTGGCCCTCCCTGGACAGCATCTCCCGTGAGCCCAAGTCACCTGCCTATGGTGACGGGGTCCCGGATCCTGGCCACCTGCATGGCAGTGCCCCCTCCACTTGAGACCCAGGCCTTTTGCGCCTGCGGGGACGGGGAGTGGCCTTGGCCCCGGCCCGGGGCTCTGTGCAGGGGAAACCCCACAGGAAACGGGCCTGGCCAAATGGCCGCCCTTCCCGTTCTTGTCCCTGGGACACGAATGTGCTGTCTCACTTCCGGAGGCGGCCCAGGGAGGCTGGCCGCCCTGCGGGGCCTCGTCTGCTCCTGGCTGGTGCCCCTAGACCTGGAGGGGACAGGGCTGGGCTAGGGCCCGACGATAAAGCGGAGGCCAGTGTATGTGTTTGTGTGTGTTTGTGTGTGTATGTGTGTGTGGAAGGGGTGGGAACACAGCAGGGCACCTCACTCCACCTGTCTCCCAGTGGTGGGAGCCACCAGATCTGGGTGCTGGGGTCCTACCCATGTGCAGCATCCTCAGTTCCATCATCCTTCCTGTTTCTGCCTGGTGAATGATGACAGAGTAGCCCCGTCTTAATTATACGTAGCACTCATGGAACCCTTACCATGACATTAGCCCTGCTTTGCTGATGGGGAAATGGAGGCCCAGAGAGGGTGAGTGACTTGCTCATAGTCACCAGCTGGGAAGCTGAATAGCTAGGGTTCAAATGTGGCCAGACTGGCTCCAGAGTTGGGGTCTCCTATACAGGAAGTCTCTGTTTACTGAACACAAGGCCAGCTTCACAGGGTCTCCCCCAACTCAGAAGGAGGGAGCTTGGTGTGATGCTCTGCTGTTGATGTCTTGAAATTCTTAATTTGTGAACAAGAGGCCCCAGGTTTTCATTTTGCATTGAACTCCACAAATTCAGTCAGTGGTCCTGGTGTCAGGTACTTACTGAGCGACACTCTTGGTGAAACCTCACTGTGATATGCCCCAGAGACTCTTGGCTCCATTTCACAGATAGGGAAACTGAGGCTTGGAGGGTATTTGGGAAACGGCCGAGCTGGGATGTGAATCTCGAGCCTGGGTCCAGTGCTCTGGCGGCGTGTGTGCCAGGGGGGGAGAGCTGGATCCTGGCTGCCGGCATCCGCTCTGGTGGGGCGCGGGCTGAGGCCTGGCCGCCGAGGAGACAGGGCCACGGGGGGGAGGCCCTGGTGGTTTCCTCCTGCCCTTCAGGCTTCTAGGAAGTGGCGCCAGCTGGGGTGAGATCACTTCCTCACCCGCCTGCCCGCCACCCCCTCAGCTTCCTCTCCCCATGGCCCCATTTAGCCTGCCCAGGGCTCAGTGGTGGTGGGGGGGTGGCGACAAAAGCGGGAGGGAACTTGGCTCTGGGAGTTCCTGCAGGCTCCTTGGCCGAAAGTGACCCTCTAGGCACCTCTACCTCTCTGGGCCTTGGAGGCATGGCTGTGGCTAAGGGTGTCTAGCCAGGTGGTCCAGCTCTCTCTTAGGGAAGAGGGCTTCCCTACAAGAACTCAAAGGATGGCAGCAAGTGGGGACTTGGAGGGCAGATGTCCTCAAATCTCATTACCTCCTTTTGTCTCTCCTAGGTGCCAGCCGCTGGCCCTGCCCGGTGTCCCCCCACCCCTGTGCCATGGCCGGCTGGGGTTCCTGGGGATGGGATTTGCTGCCTGTCACAAATCACATTGCCAGGGATTTCCAACCGACCCTGAGCCCTGCCTCTGGGGCCGCTGCTGTCACTGCCACTACCGAGGACCCCGACCCAGGGATAGGGATGGGGAAGGGGTGGCAGAGAGGCCCCCACCACCTGCGTCTGGCCTGGGGAGCAGGGCTTAGCTGCTTGTGAGCAGGTCCACAGCAAGTGTGTTCACAGTGGCTAAGTTCCGCCCCCCACGGCCCCGCCTCCTCTGGCCCTGCCACCTCTCCCCTGGGCCTGCCTGTCCCACCACCCGGGCCTCCCTGGGCTCTGCCTCCCGTGCCTACTGAGCTGAAACACAGTTGATTTGTGCAGACTGGCTCAGTTCAGCAGGAACAGGAGTCGAGCCCCCTTGGAGTCTGTGGCCCTTGCCTTCCCTGGGTGGGCCAGTCGCTGCCTGGGGGAAGAGATGAGGACCCGGCCCCAGACCTGTGTCTGGAGGAAATTGGAGATGGGTGGGGCCTCGGATGGGTTAACTCAGCTGTCTGCTGCAGGCCCCCTCCTCCAATTCTGCACTTCAGAACCCCCACACAGTCCCATCACAGGCTGGGCTGTGCTTGCAGGGAGGATGGGGAGATGGGCAGGTGGGTGGCCCTTCCATGAAAAAGGGAAGCCAACAGTGCCCTGCCTTGCCGACCCTCGGCCCCTCCTCTCCCAAGGCTGGTTGGGGCACTGCTGGCCCGCACCTTCACAGCAGCCAGTTACCCAAGAGGAAGCTGCCTTGGGCCCTCAGACCGTTAAATGCCAACTCCGGGCTTCCGGAACCAGGCTGCCTGCCCTGACCCTGCCTGGCCCCTTCTCCCTGGGCCCTGCAGCTTCCTAACTTGGAAGAGGAGCCATGACACCCTTCTGACACATGGGGCAGGGAATGAGGTCCCTGTGGGCCCAGAAAGGAGATCAGCAGGCCTGCTTTGTCCTTGGGTGGTCCCAGCGCATAGAAGAATTGAGACTCTGTCCTTGATCAGATAGAGTAGGGCTCTTTTGGGGATGAGACTGGGGAGGCAGAGTGAAGCCCCCCAGGCTGTCAGGGTTGACCCAGTGTACACTTTCCCCATCGGGGCAGGAGCAGACAACAGCTTGGGGTAGACTCTACGCCACATGTTGAGCCTTTCTTTTGTCCAATTAAATAAAAGCTGCCTGCCTCATTCTGAAGGTCTGGTGGTTTGTGATTTATTCCCACCGCCATCCCTGGCTTTTGGGATGGGGAAGGTTGATTGGCCTGAATTTACTGCCCTGGCATCCTGGTCTTCTGACCTCATAGGAGCCCCATCTCTCCCCCACCTGCTCTAGGAAGGTGACACTTTAGTCATGTAGGTGGAGAGGGTGCCCTTGGTGTAGAAGGGTGACCTGGAGGAGTGTCCTGGGGTTGGGGGGGTGACCTTGTAGGAAGTTCTGGGCTGGAGACTGACTTTCAGGGTTGGTGTGGTGACAGGAAGAGCTGTTCTTGGAAGGACCTAGACTAGATTATGATGAGGAATGCCTCATGTTCAAGGCTGGGGGTTGGGGGGATGGGACCCAATCTAAGCTGGCGGTGGTGGGGTGACCCTGAGGGGACATTTGGAGATAACTGGGACCTGAGGGTTTGAGCTAAAGACAGTTGAGGTGACAGACATAAGGGAAACTCGGGCTGGGGGTAAGACTTGGGGTGTCTAGTATCTGAGAACGCTGGCAGGGAACTTGGGCTTGAGGTGTGTGTGTGTGTGTGAGCCCAAGAGGGACATGGCTGTGACTTGGACCCGAGTGGTGCCCCAGGTCCGAGGACACTTGGAGACAGCTGGGACCACAAGGGTCAAAGCTGATGCAGAACTCTCAGGACTGCCACCTCACCCTCCCAGGCCTCCAGGCGGCGCTAAGGAGCGTGCATGCAGGTCAGTTGGGGTCCCACTCGCATACCTGCGGAAACTGGAGAGGCGGGGCTGGAGGTGGAGCCAACTCCAACTGGTTTCCTCCAGCGCAGGTCGGCGCCACGAGCCAATCGCTATGCCCAGCGCCGCCGATGCCCCGCCCACGGCTGCGCACGGGACCTCGGCGCCCTCTAGCGGTCGGCCCCCGTCCAGCCTCGCTCTGAGCCCCGCCCCTTCGGGAAGCCTCTGTCCTCGTCTGCCCCGGCCCCGACAGTGACCCAGATAGTCTGTTCCTCTGTCTGTCTGTCTCTAAAGGCAGGGAGGTTCCTGACTTCTCAGGGAGCCAGTAAAGCAAGGTAACTAAGGGCCTTACTGCTATCCTCCAGATCTCATTATTTGGGGACTAGGAGCCTCATCCGCGGTTTGGGAGCCCAGACACGTCCTGGCCGCGGCCCTATTGACCACGCCCACCCCGCCTTGTCAGAACCTCGCCCACCGAAGGCTAGTCTACACAGAATTCCTACCTTTGGGCGGCATGCCTTCCCCACCCAGCTGCACCCAACACCTGACACGCACCGCCCACCGTCCCCGCCTGGTGCTCAGAAACTTGCTGACAAGTACGCCCCCATAACGGGTATCTGGAGCCCGGACACCCCCTAGTGGCCATTCCCAGCGCCGCAGGGCCATTTTGCCAGAAGTAGGCAATCAGTAACCCCGCCCCAGCACGGTACTAAATCAAGCTCTGTCGCTTTCTAAAACGAGGGCCAAAAATAAATAAAAACAAACAAATAAAACGCGTGCCCTTTCCTTAAACTTTGAAGCCTCATTTTTCTCATCTGTAAAATAGGAATGATAATCCAACTGCCTTGTAGGGCTGTTGTGACAAGTGCTGTAACTGATGACAGGTGTAAAGCATAGGTGTCAGCACAAGGCTTGCTCATAGAGAGCTCTCCATGCTTGTCTGCTGTCATCCATACTGTTACCACTGGATGGAACCAGCAGTTGCTCCCACTGCATCCCTTGCTGAAGCTGTGCCCAGAGATGAGGCTGGAGATTTTCTGTGGAGGTGAACAGGGGGCCCTGGCAGGGGGCCGTAATGAGATGGGGGAATGCACCTTAGTCTCAAAATAAAATTAAAAAGAACAAGCTGTGTTCAATTTTTTTAAAAAAAAAAGGAAAAAGGAAATACAATATATGGTTCAATAAATAGAAAAAAAGTTACAAAATGTGATCTTTGTCCTTAATTACAGGAGGAGAAGACAGGAGGGTGATTGGGGGTAGGACACTCTCCCTCCTCCTCCCTGGGCCAAGGTTGGGGAAGGGAGGCCAAAGAGACAGCAGCTGGGACCTGGGGCTGCAAACAGAAAGACAGGTTAGATGGTGAGACATATGGGAGGGGAGAGTAAGCTGAAGGGTGGAGCAGGGAGGGGGAGGAAGAGAAAGAGAGAGACAGACAGCCAGAAAATGCCACCACGCTGGCCTCTTTCCTTTCTAGCGTGGGCAGGGGTACCTGGCTCGCCTGTGCTTGTCTCCCCTTGACACCAGGTTTGGAGGACAGTGTGAGCCTGGCTCTGTTCCTGAGTTCTATGTCCAGTGACTAGCAGGTAGGGGGAGGGACATTAATGATCCCCCCGCCGGCCCTGGGACCCTGGCACCCAAGGGAATGGAAGTCCTGGCAGGATGGGGGGTGAGGTATGTGGCCGAGGCCTGAAGCCTCTTCAAATCCTTCAGTGGGGGTGAGCCATTGGTCCCAGTTGGGCAGCCTGGAGGGGGTGCAGGGCTGTGGATGGGGCCCCTGAGGCAGTGAGGAGAGGGTACAAAAGTAGTTTAGATGCCCTAATACCAGCCCCTTGGCCACCCAAAGTTGGGTGTGGGGAGGGTCTGCTCCACTGATTTTGAGAGCCGGTTTCTGGAAAGTCCTGCCTCCCAGCCCCAGCCAGACCTGGGAGTTTGGGGTGGGACAGCTTGCCTGTTGCTTTTGGGGATGCCCAAGGCGGGGTCATACCAGCTGCACAAGCACACACTCCCTTCCAGGCCTCTGGGTGGTGGCATGGCTTCTGATCCTTGCGTCTTGCACACTCCTAGGCACGCACGTGGCAGGATGCCACCCCCGCCTCCCACCTCCTTCTGGGTGTGGGGGATGGCAGGCAAGACCACCCGGCTCCAGCCGGGCTCCTTCCCTGACTTAATACTGAAATGCCACATAGGCCTCCAGTGTTGAGGCCGCCCGATGGAGAGTGAGTGTCACAGAGGCAGGAGTGAAGGGGGTACCCCCCCCCACTGCCTGCCTGCTGCGCCTCAGCCGAAACGCTCCCGCACCAAGAGCATGAGCTTCTTCTTGCCCTTGTAGGTCTGTTTGAGGTTCTCCAAGAACTGGGTGAACTGAAGGTGCCCATCGGGCGCCAGCAGGAACGGTCTCGCGGGCCTTGCCCAGGAACTCAATGAAGTCGCCGTAGTGCCGCGGGCTGATGTGCGTCAGGCGGGAGTGGCTGGTGGTGATGTAGG